TCCCTACAGGAAGCCACGACCACGTGTCACGGGAGGGAAAATGGCCGTGGATCCTGTTTGTCACCCAATCCGGCATTCGTGAACGGAAGCAAAATTTTGCGAACGGTGCTGTTCGTGACCCGAATTGGTTGTGAACAGAAGCACTCATGACCCGAGGTACCACTGTAATTTCGGGCATAGGTCGTAAGTCCGTTTGTTCAGCACCATCGTAATTTCAAACGATTGCTGAACGAATGGTCGTTAAGTGAGAACTACCTGTGCAACTTTATAACAATAATGGGAATTTGAAGGAATTGTCCTAAATGTTGGCTTAAGATAGTATTTGTTTGTAGTTCAGAGAAATACAGACTGAGGTCATGCTTTAGATGAATATGCTGATCTGTACATGGAGACCCCTGGTGCTACGCATGTCCACCTTCGGTCCTGAAAATCTGCAAAAGTTAATAGCTCTTCTAACTACAGTTGCCAGTGTGGGTGCAGTATCTGCATGACTTTTTAACACATCTGTCATTTACCTAGTCCCAATGAACCAAATCTGGTGACCTAGAAGAATTTCTCTTCCCTCGCTGCAGGTGGCGAACTGATTCTTGTATGTATAGATAAATTGGGTCTGTATTGTCTAGATGTGAAAAGATGGTAAAAAATCTATAGGAAGAAGTATGGGACGATACCTGATGACAATTGGTGCTCGGCTGCTTCCTTTCCCCCTTGAAACTTGGAGCTCCCTGTTCTCAACAGTTGTGTGCAAACGTTTTCCAGTTTCCAGCTCACAACACTTAGCTTTCACGCTGTGCACACCACTACTAATCCTGGTCTGAGATAGATATTTGTCCATATGATCTGAATAAAGATACTACCATTAGGGCTTTCAGGCAAAATAGGTACCTCATCTTTGCTAATATAGTGGCGGATAGAGTTTTTTTTTATTAGATGGGCAAACTTGGATATTTAATTTCTTAAGTAGTCAGTGAAGTCACTTTTCTTGATCTTGGCTTAATTGACCTCATAGGGATGTTGTAGGAAAAAAAAGAAGGGGGGGGAATGTTTGGGGAGGTGCATTGTTCTAAGCTCCCTATTGAAATGATGGGATAAAAATGTAATTGTAAAGAAATTAGGAAGAAAATAGGTTAATGTATATTTACTTACTTATCTATCATTTTGTCCCTATATATAATTGCCTAACATAGTTTCATTTTATCCAGATGTTGAAACAGGATTTTGTCTTACTTTGCCCAGCACTTTAGACTCGTCATGTGACTAAGAAGTAGGCCATAGTTGAAATGGGGGAAATAATTATAATGGTATGTGGGAAAGACCTTGGGAGACTGGGCCAAGAGATGTTGCCAAGGGAAGGGCCAGATAAGAGATAGCATAGCCCACAGCTGGATACTGGGAGGGGCAAGAGGCTCAGAAAAGACCCTCCCTAGTTTCTTAGGCTGTAAAGGAGACAGGGAGAGAATTGAACTTTCTGACTTGCAAGATGATGTCAGCCTTACTAGTTAGACCAGACAGGGAACACGGCCAGATGAGCTAATTCTACTTTATTGTAAGGCTACGTTAATAGAATCTTGCAAGTCTGAAAGTGCAGTTCTCCCACCATCTCTTTTACAGCCCTAGGGAGGGTCTCTTCCGAGTATCTTGCCCCACCCACTATCCAACTGTGGCCTACACTGTCACTTATCTGACCATTCCCTTGGCAACGTCTCTTAGCCCAGTTTCCCAAAGTCTTTCCCACATACCATTATAATAATAATGCTGTTCCAGGGCCATTCCTGGAATTGGAAATTTTGTTGCTTGAAACAGAGTGAACGAGTGAAAACTCATTCACTCAAGTCAAGAACCATCATTTCCAGCCCCACTAAGCTTAGTGCAGAAGTCAAAAACCCAGCACGGCAGTGAAAAAGCAGTAACAATAAATTGCTAAGAATATGGGAGCTTTTCAGGACAGCCAACTCCAGGTGCCTGAGAAGGTTGCCTGTAGGTTCAGCCATTAGCTTGCAAATTTTTAGCAGTATTTTTCCTTCTTATCTCCCTCCCCACCTGCTTAAATGTAAGGGATAAGTTGTCGCTCATTATTTTCCTGGTATCTCTGTCTTCAACCTGTTTCAGTTCTCACTGTGAATCATGTGACCTCTGGGTAGTGAGTCATCCTACAGCAATGTCACCCACTTTCTGTAGCATATTGTCACAAGAAGCATCCGCCTGGTTTGCCTAATTTATGTTGGGTCAGCTCAAACCAGATGTCAGAGAAGCAACCATGCCCTGAGCCCACTGCGTCAGCTCTTCTATGTATTTCCTGGGACTTGTCTTCTGTTAGATCAGTGTTCATCAACCTTAGCAACTTTAAGATATGTGGACTTCAACTCCTAGAATTCCCCCGCCAGCCATTTTGGCTTGGGGGTTCTGGGGGTGTGAGTCCACATATTCTAAAAGTGCCCAGGATGGCGAACTCACGG